GGTATATACATCGAGATATACAGCAGTATGTAATAGATCACAGTAAACAGGTGATATCACAATAGTATACATAATAATGAATGTGAAAAAAAATAGTGAATTTCCTGGCACTTTCATGATTTCTCATGATAGTGCTTTGAAATTCACTATTTTTTTCACAGTGGTTATTTTGCATACAAGTAGTATCTCTTAGTGTATAAATATTTCAGATTTTGCCTGTATTTCAACCCCTAGTTTAAATATTAAATTAAACTTGATATTAATGTCTAGTGAGTTTCAGCCTTCATGACCGCTGATGCAGGCGATAGAATTAAAACCTAACATTAACTTCTTCCTGAGTTCCACTATATATTACCTGGAAAATGCATGCTGTAGAGAAAATAATGCAGTTAATACTGCACCACCTGTTGCAGTAATACAGCCAACAACTATGCATTCACAATGCCAGCTACAACTGTCATACCCTCAGTCTGGGCATATTGCGGTCACTCTGTGTAGGCGGAGAATGTAGAGATGCATTGTAGAGATGCATCTGCAGAGAGAGCACTTCAGCTACACATCCTGCCACAAGAACTGCTCGATTCATACTGACCTCATCTAGCCCTAAGCAACAGAGATACCAATGGTTATTTGACACAGGCTGTCATGCCCAGTCTTGTCAGTGGAGTGAATATTGCATTCACAATACATGTACTATCAGTTACTAATGGTACACATACTGGCTACTGACACAACTACCATACACGGTTCCACAACTAATGAAAGAGTTGTTACATTTCTCATGTTTCAACCAATAAACAAGTCGCTTACAATTCAGAACCTATTTCACTATATAAAACAATCTTACAAAAGATAGCAATGGGTTTGTACATATTCATATCTGTGGATCAACATTAGTAAAACATTTTTATTAAATTATATTAATATCAGTTCTGTTCAGGTGATATGGAGAGAAGCAGGCAAGTTCCTGGCAAAGGACAAGTAATTTGATGGTCATATACATAAGGGGTGGAGAAATTTGCTGTTTGGAGGAACATCTGAGATGTATCTGTGTGCCTCTGGCAAGACAGCGATAGTGTGAATGATAGTGAAAGTGTTTCTTTTTTTGGATCACACTGCCTCAATAGGAGACGGCCATCATGTAAAAAATTTTTTTTTATCATCATTATGATCATACATAAAAAGTGTTAAACATGCAAATGTTATAAAATATTTTTGCACTTAGCTGATAGTGAGTGGTGAATATATTTATTGTAAGATAGGCTTAAGTTTGCCCGAAATGCTCTACACACTAAGGGACTTTCTGCATGCACACCTAAATGTCACCCATCTCTGTACAAACATTGTATTATGCTGAAATAAAGAATTTGAATTCGAATTTTAATATCACTTGGGAAATGGGAGGATCGAGTCCCTGAAGGAAGGATTCTTCATGATGGTAAGAGGCTCCTGATCTTTGGAATTGGACTGATCATCCCCTTCCTTGGATCTGGTTTTATTGTTTGTTAATTTTGTCCTTGTTTTCATTATATTTTGCCCTTGTTTTCATTATATTTCATTATTTTTATGGCCTGGCCCATGGCCAGACTCCAGAAGTAGAAAGCAAAACTCATCTAAGGTAAAGACACTGAATGATCTACATGATCAAGGTGCTCTGTAAATGTCACACCTACTACTACAACTATTAGAATATGTACTACTACCACTATCCATCTGAGCCTTGATCCTGATTAACTTCCATTTCTCAGGAGCTATATGACACCCAAGGGTTTAGTGTTTCCCATAACCATAATAGTAATGGAATCAAGCTTGATCTGATCTCAGATCAGGAGCCCTCCACCAGCATCAAGGTAACTGAACTGAAGGGAATATAAATATCTTGACTATTATCACAAGGATAATAGAGAAGAGTGGGGATACCTGCAGTTTTGAATAGCAGTGGTCCACCTCTGACAAGACAGTGATGGAGTGAGTGATGATGAAAGCATTTCTTATTTTTTGGGGTCATCTTGCCTCGATGGGCCATAGATAAGGCAAAATTCTCCACACAATCATTTTGTCCAAGAGGAAAACAAAAGAATCAGTATTCCTGATCCAACTCTTTTAATCTGATTTTAATTAAATGCAATTCAATGGAACCTCGGTGTTTGAACTGAATTGGTTCCTAGGTGGTGTTCAAACTACAAAAAGTTTGATGTCTGAAATAGTATTTGCCAGGCATTAATTATCAGCCTCACACTGGAAGATGTTGAACTGACTCTTCCAAAAGTCTCTGAGAGTCAGGTCAGTGCCATAGGTCACTTTAAAACAGCTTTGAAACAGGGCTTTTTTACAACTGAATTTTAAACAAGTCAGCATGTTTGGACTCCAGAAAAACATTCAAAGACAGGGTCAGTTTTTTTTTTCTGAACAAAATTGTTCAGGCTCCAGTTTGCTTGAGGGCCAGTACATTTGAACACTGAGGTTCCACTGTACATTGTTGCAATACTGTATGAAAAAAGTTCTCTAATTGTTTGTATACTGTAAATTTTACTGCAAAAATCTACACACAGTATTGTCCACTTTCTCCATGTTCTAATTACTATATTGTATACATAAATTTTAATAAAAGAATGTGCCTGAAACAGCCTTACCTCAGTTTTTATTTCACCCCTGTAAACGATGTGGGGAATGAAACAAGTAGAACTGATGTGGAGAATGGAATGAGTGGAGTGACTGAGCCTTCAGGTGGAGTGGAGCACAATTTGCTAATGGTTGACAATATCTGAAAGAAAAGGCAAAGAGGATTTTGCAAATAGGGAAATCTATAAAACTTTGAGGTTTCATTACAACCAATATTTGGAACAATAAGTCACAATATAATTTCTCAAACAATTCATGAATAACTTGCGCATAGGAAACATGACAAAGTTTTGGTCTATCCTGGCCCAGTGTCAAATCATAACTGATTTGACATTGGTCTAGGACAGACTGCAACATTGTCATAAGCTTCATCTCCTTAGCAACATACTCGTTTACTGATGCCTTGGACTTAGGACGGGCTCTCTGACCAGTATTCATGCCTAAATAATGTATCTCATAGCTGATTTCCTCTATTCTGTTTATATCAATATACAGTACACTACTACATAAACATTTAAAAATATACCAGAAATGTTATAAATGGTGCAAAGGTGACATTAAAACAATATTAAAGATAGCTGACACAAACTCACTATCATCATAGTATGCTCCTCACTTAGCAACGAATTTGTTTAATGACGTGGTCTCAGGAATGGAGCTCCGTCGTTAACTGATGAGAGGCTGTACTGTATTTATGAAATGATGGTAATACTGGAGAAACACCCGAAACACTTGGAAAGAATTTGAGTCCTGGAGCTACCGCCAGGACTCAAGTCCTGGGGATGGTGTTCCATATTTACATTAGCATTCAATTCAGCCATTGTTCCACCTACCGGTGACAATTACTGTGGCGTGGAACATAATTAACAATGGCTCAGTTTGAAGCCAATGAAAACATGAAACACCAAAAAGAAGGTGCTGTAAATGTGGGACCCTCCTGTACAGTGCCTGCACTCTGAAGAAGGGGTGGGGATATTTGCAGTTTTGAACTAAAGTACTGGCACCCCTCCGGCAAGACAGTGATGGAATGAATGATGGTGAAAGTGTGTCTTCTTTTTTTGGGTCACCCTGCCTCAGTGGGAAACAGCTGGTGTGTTAAAAAAAAAAATACAGACTTCTGCCAGTATCACCAAAGTAGTGATGGGAGAGGGATGACTATGCTATAAATACAATATCACTCAATTACTTGTCTTTTCAGTAGCCTACATGCTTTAATTCATGCCATCTATACAGTACTAATACTAATAACTAACTAAATACCAGTAGTGTAAATACTGTAGTGTAAAGCACCCTTCTGGTAAGACAGTGATGGAGTGAACGATGGTGAAAGTTTTTCTTTTTCGGGCCACCCTGCCTTGGTGGGAATCGGCCGGTGTGATAATAAATAAAAAAATAAAATACCAGTACTGAAAAGTAAATAATGAATAAAAGTTTATCCTACCAATAAATGTACTACAGTACTGTACAGTACATACTTGGGTAATCAAGTACATTAACTTGATTACCCAAAGATGGTACTGGTATAGTACATTTAGCGATATGTTGTACAGGTACTCACCATTAACATAGTTGAAATCACACTGGGCCTGAAGAATATTGTGAAGAACAGAACTAACATTAACATCATAAAATCGAAATATCGTGAGTTGAACCATCGCAGAGCAAGGAGCATCTGTAGTTGTACAGTAAGTAGCAAGATGAACAAGGAACAGAGGACAGCATTATCTAACAAAAACTTAATTATTTATGCACACTGGGCATAAAAGGAATGAGTAATAAATGAGTCTGAATTCAGACAGAAACATAAGAATATGTAATTGTTAGCAAGTGGCCATTCTGGCAGATATTGGCTATGAGTGGGCTGTAAAACATTTATTTTCTTTCTATTAAGTAATGAACATCATGTTCCCATAGGTACCTAAGACACTGAATGGAAAAGGAGTGATGGTTACCAGTGAAATCAGGTCAACATGGTTTCGAGAGTGTGCAGGATGCATTGTAGTGAGTACTGTACACCACTGCATCACAGACCACCAGCAAATCAAGTGCCAACCCACTTGTGGTGATATCATGGGCCACAACCCATGGTATCACAAAAATGGTGGCTGCCCAAAGGAAGAATCAAAAGTAATGATATCTCTACCATGGGAATAAATTACTACAAAATGTGTGGCTATAAACAAGAAATAATACCAGTGACAAAGAACAGAAACACCTCAGCAATTTTTGTATGTTTACACACACATCTCTGGAGGAACTAGCCAGCAGTAGTTCTGTACTAGCACTATCATTGATGGTACTATAGTAGCAGTTACCATGATTTTTAACCTGTAAATGTATACAAGGGGAGAGAAATGGTTGGTATCAAGTAAACAAAATTAAAATGGCCTTCAATTTATTTACTACTGTATAAACAACCATGGAAAATGTCATTTACATCTGGGATATATTATATACAAAAAATACATTCAATATTAACTTTCAATGACAGACAAAATGGGGGCCACTAAAATTAACAGAGCTCATAGGGATCAGACAGATGACATTCTCAGTGTTTATTAACCCCTAAACTATCCACACGTAGATCTACGTCCACGTGCGGGGGGCTCCGAACGTAGATCTACTTTTTTTTTTTAATGCTTTCAAATGGGGAAAATCAAGGTTGGGGCACTACGCATGTGAACGGAGATCTACGTTTGGACAGTTTAAGGGTTAAATACAAAGATACTTTATGTGTCTGTTTTAAAAGGGACAAACCTCATGTTCACCATCACTACCACCCTCTGCCACCATCAGTACCACCCTCTACCAATGAGAAACAAAGCCAGACTGACTCAGAACATGTGGGATGCTTTATGTAGGCGCGGGTGGACACGTTTGGTATGGTGAACCACTATCAACTCGACGAAAACCAAAATGGTGGCCTGGTGGCTAAAGCTCCCGCTTCACACACGGAGGGCCCGGGTTCAATTCCCGGCGGGTGGAAAAATTTCGACACGTTTCCTTACACCTGTTGTCCTGTTCACCTAGCAGCAAATAGGTACCTGGGTGTTAGTCGACTGGTGTGGGTCGCATCCTGGGGGACAAGATTAAGGACCCCAATGGAAATAAGTTAGACAGTCCTCGATGACGCACTGACTTTCTTGGGTTATCCTGGGTGGCTAACCCTCCGGGGTTAAAAATCCGAATGAAATCCTATCTCTTATCTTATCTTAACTGGGACAAAATTTTGATGAAAAAAGTCATCGAAAACTGAATTCGACGAAAACCAGGGCAAATGAAAACCAAGGTTCCACTGTAGTTCCTGAACCCTGAAGGACGGGTGATGATGCTGAAGTTCGAAGGGTCTTTGAACTATTATGTCCACGTACTTTTGGCAAGACAGCTGCTGAATGAGTGATGGTGAATGTGATTCCTTCTTTAGGTCACCTGAATCCCCTGAAATGATTCAGGAAACTGGTTTAATGGACATGGGTCCTGGTGATGGGAAGTACAGTGCATGCACTCTAAAGGAGGGGTGAAGATGTTCCAGTTCAGAGGGTCATCTGAACTATGATGTCAGCACACTTCTAGCAATAAAATGATTAAATGAATGATAATGAATGTGTTTCCCCATTTTTTCTGGGTCACCCTACCTCATGGGTAGATGGTCAGCATGTAAAAAAAAAAAAAAAACTGGGACATTGAATTCCTGAAAGATGGATATTCGACAAATCAAACTAAAAATTTAGGAAGACACTATGTACTATGTACAAGTAGCTGGAGAGGACTAAGTCATATGGAAGTGTGTACAAGATGAAGGACAAATTACAGAATGGGTGCTAGTTGAACCCATGAAGGACGAATCCTAAAACTCACAGGACTCACGTGCCATGGGTTCCAGCCCCACTAGTTCTGTGATTTTTTGCACTCATGCTATTATGATTTTGTGAGTAACTAGGAATGACGTTTGAGGGGATAACAACCAATCAGAGATATGCACAGGAACCTGGAATAGTATCTATTAATTTGTTATCTCTTAATGTGTTATCCATTGCTATATTATCTCTTAATGATTGCAACAAGCCTAAATCAGCTCTTCACTTTGAACACTCTACACATCATCTATATGATTGCTGTCTGACTACCCAAAAAAAGAAGAAAAAATAGTCTGAAAAAATCACAAAACTGGGTTAAATAAAATTCAAACTTTTTTACAACAAAATATTAATATCACATATATTATTAACTAGTCCAAAAATAAGCTGGCTTTGTAACTATTGTTTAATCTGACATCTGCTTAATATCAAATTTATCTCTATAAGTATAATACTGTACTCACCTATATGTGGTTGCAGGGGTCAAGTCACAGCTCCTGGCCCTGTATATTCAAGCAAATGAAAACAAATTTCACAGAAGACAAATTTTGCACTTGCTTGTTAAAACAGCAAAGTTATTTTAAATTGCCCACAAAAGTATATATGACTATCAACACTCAGACAATATCCAGGTGAAAACCATATAACCTATATAAAAAAAAAATTAAATTTTTTTTCCTACCCTACTCTCGACTAACACTCCTTCTGAAAGTCATGGTCTTTACTCCTGGGAATTTCTTCATATCTGCAGCAGTATCTGCATTGTCTGCCACATCAGAGCTCTGCTCTCCATGGGCTCCATCACGCACCTCTATGTCATCCTCCGTCTCTCGCTTGCGTCCCGTGTGATGGCCTTTGTTCCTTCCGTCCCTGAATTTACTATAGTACCTCTCACTACAAGCTTCATTGCTCTTCACCCTACTCTCCCTTAATGTCTTGGTGCCAACGTGGTCCTCCCTACCCCTCACATCCTTGTCTTTAGGACATTCAGGATCCAGATCCAGAGAGTCACTTCTGGAGTCTACAGATCCTTCTTTGGAGTTCAAAGTCTCCTTTTGGGTATCTGAGTTTTCCTTTTTGGTCTGTGACTGGTATTTCTTGGGGTCCCCAGGAGGCATGACAGGACTTGGACTAGATGACGACGTTTCTGCTCCTTCCTCGCGGTCCTGACGCATCCGGCTACTAAGCCGAGATTGACCAGGTCTGTAGAGGGCCATTGCTGGACGATCCTGCAAATGAAGAAGACATAAATATAAAGTTAATTCCAATCTTACTTTGATATACCTTTGATGAGTTCTGAGAGTTTTTCTACTTCCAGAGCCCAGCCATAGGCCAGGCTCGACTGGTGCTTGCCTGATCACCCAGGCTGTTGCTGCTGGTGGTCCACCAACCCATATATCCATTACAGCCTGGTTGATCTGGCACCTGGAAAAGATATTTGTCCAATTTCCAGATCACGATCAGAAGGATAACTAAAATATAAATAGTAATCAAGAATAAAGCTAATAATACAGCGAATGAAATAATACACAACAAAGATGCATTTTATAAATAAAATATAGACCGTTTCGGTCTATCTTGGACCATTATAAAATCACAAGTGAGGGAAAAAAAGGGAAAATCAAGAAAGCAGATCAGAGTATTTGTAAAGAACAAAAAGGCACAAAACTGAGAATAGAACAGTCAATTTTCCATGTTGGGCTGTAACCTCATCATAAGCTTCTTTCTCCTATGTGCAGGTTATTTGTAGGTGAGAAGGCAAATAATGTCATGAAAACATGGGAAGAGGAAAATATCAATAATTCATAAGATTAAGGAAGTGTGCTATCCTGGTATTTCTTGCTGAAGGAAAAGATGATAAAACACTTTGCTATGAGAAAAGGAGCTAAGCATTTAACAATTCACAAAGTCAAATGTCCTTGTAAAGTAAAAGGACACAAGTGCAACTAATGTGACATGTTATTGTGGCAACGTTTTGCTCTCCAGGAGCTTTATCAAGCCAATAGCTTGATAAAGCTCCTGGAGAGCGAAACGTTGCCACAATAAAATGTCACATTAGTTGCACTTGTGTCCTTTTACTTTACATATTGTCGGTAATTCTACCAACTTTATTCAAATGTCCTTACTGAATCCTTCCTCCATAAGTCATGAGCGTCGTAAGAAGTGACTAAAATGCTGGGAGCAAAGGACTAGTCACCCCTTCTCCTGTATAAATTACTAAATGTAAAAAGAAGAAAAGCTTTCTTCTTTTTCAAGTCACCCCCTCCCCTGAGTCGGAGACGAGTGGTACATTGAATTTTTTTTTTTTTTTTTTAACACTGAGGCAGGATGACCCAAAAAGAAAGAAGATCCCCAAAAAGAAAGAAAATACTTTCATCATCATTCAACACTCTCACCTCACTCATACATAATCACTGTCTTTGCAGAGGTGCTCAGATGTGACAGTTTAGGAGTCCCTCCAAACTGCCAATATCTCAAACCCCTCCTTTAAAGTGCAGGCATTGTACTTACGATTTCCAGGGCTCAAGTCCGGCTAAATGGTTTCCCTCAATCCTTTCACAAAATATTATGTTGCTCAAACTCCAACAGCTTGTCAGGTCCCAAAAACCATTTGTCTACATTCACTCCAATCTAACATGCTCATGCATGCTTGCAAAAAAGAATATATATACACGTATATTATTAATTTATTAGCCAGACTTGAGTTCTGGAAATGGGAAGTACAATGCCTTCACTTTAAAATAGGGGTTTGGGATATTGGCAGTTTGGAGGGACATCTAAACTGCCGTATCTGAACGCCTCTGCAAAGACAGTGATTATAAACCATACCACGGGTGGGGATGGAACCCGCGATCAGTCATAAAACTCCAGACTGATGCACTAGCCACTGGGCCAGCTGGCTACAGTGAGACAGTGATTATTATGTATGAGAGATGGCGAAAGTGTTGAATGATGATGAAAGTTTTTTCTTTCTTTCTGGGTCACCCTGCCTTGGTGGGAAACGGTTGATGCGTTAAAAAAAAAAATTATTAACATGTTAATATATTATAGGTAGTAGGTTGGTAGACAGCAACCACCCAGGGAGGTACTACCGTCCTGCCAAGTGAGTGTAAAACGAAAGCCTGTAATTGTTTTACATGATGGTAGGATTGCTGGTGTCTTTTGTCTGTCTCATAAACATGCAAGATTTCAGGTATGTCTTGCTACTTCTACTTGCATTTAGGTCACACTACACATACATGTACAAGCATATATATACACACCCCTCTGGGTTTTCTTCTATTTTCTTTCTGGTTCTTGTTCTTGTTTATTTCCTCTTACCTCCATGGGGAAGTGGAACAGAATTCTTCCTCCGTAAGCCATGCATGTTGTAAGAGGCGACTAAAATGCCGGGAGCAAGGGGCTAGTAACCTCTTCTCCTGTATATATTACTAAATGTAAAAGGAGAAACTTTCGTTTTTCCTTTTGGGCCACCCTGTCTTGGTGGGATATGGCCAGTGTGTTGAAAGAAGATGTTAATATATAATTTGCCACACAACTACAACCATGTACTGTAGTACATAAACTCAAGTTCAGCTGGAAATCTCATTCATTGAACGAATAACTAAAAAAAATGAAAGAAATAATGTACTATCTCCACGAAATATAATTTTTGGGGGAATTATGCAAAAATAGCCCACACACATAACAGAAAAAAAACTTATGATGACATTTCTGACCAAGTCGGACCATTAACTAGTGTGTGACTAGTTAATGAACCAACTTGGACCAAACATCATCATAAATTTGTTTCTCTTATGTTTAAATAACTGGTATAAAATACCGATACTATGGAAACATAAACACATATGCAGTTTAATGTGATCCTTTATTGACAACGTTTTGCCCACACAGTGGGCTTTTTCAAGTCACAAACAGATCTACCTGGGGTGGAAGGTACGGGAGTATTTATAGTCAGGTTCAGAATGTTGAGGTCAGGTGGAGAGTGCTGCATCTGATGATCCACCGGGTGGGGTTATAGAGTCTTGGGTAGCTTGGCAGGGGTATTGGACAAGTTGTGAGTAGACCTTCTGCAGTGTTCTTATGTGGGATAGCGATGAAGAAGTTTCTTGGCAAGTGGTTCAGCTATGTTATAGAAGCCATTGTTCTGGTTGAAATTGTTGGTTATAGAGATAAGCGATGATTCCAGGATTCTTCGGTATTGAGTGTTGTCTTCTGTGGCGATGAGTCTTGAGTTTCTGTAGTTACACAAATAACCCGCACATAAAAGAGAGAAGCTTACAACGACGTTTCGGTCCGACTTGGACCATTGACAAAGTCACACTCTTTTATGTGCGGGTTATTTGTGTATCGTTCCAGTCACGGTATTGTGCCTTTTTTGTTATTTCTGTAGTTAATTAAATGGTTGTGTGAATTGCGATGTTGTACACAGGCATTCCTTGCATCGTCAGTCCTGCTTGCATATTGGTGTTCTGAAATATGTGTTTGGAGGTCTCTTGATTTTTCGCCCACGTATAATTTGTTGCAGTCATTACAAGGGATTATGTACACCCCTGCAGAGGATGGAAGCTTGTCCTGTCTACTACTGGTGATGTCCTTGATGGTCGTGGTTGTGGAGGTAGATACTTGGAATGATGTATTGGAAAAGGTGTTGGAAACATGTTTGGCAATGGAGTTGGTGGGGAGGACTATGTATCTCTTCTCGGCAGTGTCTTCTCTGGGTGTGTTGAAGATGTTTAATGCTCGCCGTCTGCAGTCTCTGATGAAGTGATGAGGATAGTGGAGTTTAGAAAATACTTGTTCAATTATAGAGCATTCTTCCTCAAGGAACTCATTGCAGCAGATTCTGAGTGCACGCAGGAAGAAGCCTATAATTACACCACATTTAGTTTTGGTGTCATGGTGAGAGTAGAAGTGGAGAAGATCGTTTTGGTTGGTTGGTTTTCGATAGACTTTAAAACGGAGTTCACGGTCAGTTTTGCAGAGAAGAACATCAAGGAAAGGAAGAGTGTTGTTGACTTCTTCTTCAAGTGTGAACTGGATTGAGGGCTCGACCTGGTTGAGCTTGTCTTGGAGAGCTTGAATGTTGAAGCGCCTGGGAGTTATGAGGAGAATGTCATCAACATAACGGAGCCAGGTGACAGTCGAAGGAATAATGGTGGAGAAATGCTCGGCTTCCAGATGTTCCATGTATAAGTTCGCCAGGACGGCACTGAGTGGCGAGCTCATGGGTAGACCAAAAGTCTGTTGAAAGAGGTGATTTTCGAAAGAGAAACAGAATGTACGGCCTACCAAAAACTCACAAGCCTGGTATCCCAATGAGGCCCATATCTTCGGGAATAGGCAGTGCTCCACACCAACTCTCAGGAATTCTCACAAAACACCTCTCCAAACTCTTGGGCACTATCAGTCCAGCACATCTCAAACACTCGGGTGATCTTCTCAATCGCATTCGCAACATCAACATCAGGAACAAGAAACTTTCCAGCCTTGACATAACTTCCCTATTCATCAAAGTACCTACTACACAAGCCATCGATCTCCTGCACAGAAAAATTGATGATTCACTTGATCTTCCTATTCCAGCCAGCGACTTCATCGACCTCGTTGAACTATGTGTCGGCTTTACGTGTTTCTCTTTCGAAAATCACCTCTTTCAACAGACTTTTGGTCTAACCATGGGCTTGCCACTCAGTGCCGTCCTGGCGAACTTATACATGGAACATCTGGAAGCCGAGCGTTTCTCCACCATTATTCCTTCGACTGTCACCTGGCTCTGTTATGTTGACGACATTCTCCTCATAACTCCCAGGCGCTTCAACGCTCAAGCTCTCCAAGACAAGCTCAACCAGGTCGAGCCCTCAATCCAGTTCACACTTGAAGAAGAAGTCAACAACGCTCTTCCTTTCCTTGATGTTCTTCTCTGCAAAACTGACCATGAACTTCGTTTTAAAGTCTATCGAAAACCAACCAACCAAAACGATCTTCTCCACTTCTACTCTCACCACGACACCAAAACTAAACGTGGTGTAATTATAGGCTTCTTCCTGCGCTCACTCAGAATCTGCAGCAATGAGTTCCTTGAGGAAGAATGCACTATAATTGAACAAGTATTTTCTAAACTCCACTATCCTCGTCACTTTATCAGAGACTGCAGACGGAGGGCATTAAACATCTTCAACACACCCAGAGAAGACACTGCCGAGAAGAGATACATAGTCCTCCCCACCAACTCCATTGCCAAACATGTTTCCAACATCTTTTCCAATACATCATTCCAAGTATCTACCTCCATAACCACGACCATCAAGGACATCACCAGTAGTAGACAGGACAAGCTTCCATCCTCTGCAGGGGTATACATAATCCCTTGTAATGACTGCAACAAATTATACATGGGCGAAACATCAAGAGACCTCCAAACACGTATTTCAGAACACCAATACGCAAGCAGGACTGAAATACAAGGAATGCCTGTGTACAACATCGCAATTCACACAACCATTTAATTAACTACAGAAACTCAAGACTCATCACCACAGAAGACAACACTCAATACCGAAGAATCCTGGAATCATCGCTTATCTCTATAACCAACAATTTCAACCAGAACAATGGCTTCTATAACATAGCTGAACCACTTGCCAAGAAACTTCTTCATCGCTATCCCACATAAGAACACTGCAGAAGGTCTACTCACAACTTGTCCAATACCCCTGCCAAGCTACCCAAGACTCTATAACCCCACCCGGTGGATCATCAGATGCAGCATTCTCCACCTGACCTCAACATTCTGAACCTGACTATAAATACTCCTGTACCTTCCACCCCCAGGTAGATCTGTTTGTGACTTGAAAAAGCCCACTGTGTGGGTGAAACGTTGTCAATAAAGGATCACATTATACTGCATATGTGTTTATGTTTCTCCTATGTGAGGGTTATTTGTGTATTGTTCCATTCAGGGTATATTACCTTTTTATTCTTCCATGGATTAACTTTAATATGGAATTTTCAAACTTGCCTTATTTCTTATCCTTCTTTCAACGCGTGGATCCTTCTCTCTCTTCTTGCGTGCACACGATTTCTCCTCAGAATGCTTCTCGCTCTCTTGTGGTTCCTTTGCAGGTTCTTCTTGGTTGGTCTCCTCCTTGACATTCCTCTCCTCAGCATTTTCTTGCTGAGTCTCAATTGTCTCTGACATTTCCATTGGCTCAGTTGCTCCAGTAAGTGCTTCACTTACTGATTCTTTCTCATCCTTGGGTGTTGGTTCCTTCTCATGTTCATCTTTGCTCTTCTTTTCTTTATCTTTTTCTTCTTTTATCCTCTTCTCCCTTTCTCGTTCCTCCTTCCTGCGTCCCTCACTGTAACGCTTTGATTTGACTCCCTCAGACTTGCTTACTTGCACTCTCTCTTCTTGCCACTCTTCCTTCACCTCCTCTCTCTGTTTAATTCTCTCTTCCTCCTTCACTTTGGTCTTTTCTTCATGTCTTCTTAGCCTGAAAATTAATTATATTCTTAAAATATTATTTTTTATTTTTTTGCACATATGCTTTTCCCACCTAGGCAAGGTAATCTAAAGGAGGAAAACATTGACACTTCCAAAGACCTTCATAACATAGTTGGCAAAACAATTGTAGGTGTAGTATGCAGCATATAATTTGCACTCTTTTTTTTTTTTCAAAATCACCCTGCATCCTACACTGTGAAGGTCAGGCTTGGGATCTACGAATAATTCCATTAAACAAATATTTTTATTTTATTATCACACTGGCCGAATCCCACCAAGGAAGGGTGGCCCGAAAAAGAAAAACTTTCATCATCATTCACTCCATCACTGTCTTGCCAGAAGGGTGCTTTACACTACAGTTTAAACTGCAACATTAACACCCCTCCTTCAGAGTGCAGGCACTGTACTTCCCATCTCCAGGACTCAAGTCCGGCCTGCCGGTTTCCCTGAACCCCTTCATAAATGTTACTTTGCTCACACTCCAACAGCATGTCAAGTATTAAAAACCATTTGTCTCCATTCACTCCTATCAAACACGCTCACGCATGCCTGCTGGAAGTCCAAGCCCCTCGCACACAAAACCTCCTTTACCCCCTCCCTCCAACCTTTCCTAGGCCGACCACTACCCTGCCTTCCTTCCACTACAGACTGATACACTCTTGAAGTCACTCTGTTTTGCTCCATTCTCTCTACATGTCCAAACCACCTCAACAACCCTTCCTCAGCCCTCTGGACAACAGTTTTGGTAATCCCGCACCTCCTCCTAACTTCCAAACTACGAATTCTCTGCATTATATTCACACCACACATTGCCCTCAGACGTGACATCTCCACTGCCTCCAGCCTTCTCCTCGCTGCAACATTCATCACCCATGCCTCACACCCATATAAGAGTGTTGGTAAAATTATACTCTCATACATTCCCCTCTTTGCCTCTAAGGACAAAGTTCTTTGTCTCCACAGACTCCTAAGTGCACCACTCACCCTTTTCCCCTCATCAATTCTATGATTCACCTCATCTTTCATAGACCCATCCGCTGACACGTCCACTCCCAAATATCTGAATACATTCACCTCCTCCATACTCTCCCTCCAATCTGATATCCAATCTTTCATCACCTAATCTTTTTGTTATCCTCATAACCTTACTCTTTCCTGTATTCACTTTTAATTTTCTTCTTTTGCACACCCTACCAAATTCATCCACCAATCTCTGCAACTTCTCTTCAGAATCTCCCAAGAGCACGGTGTCATCAGCAAAGAGCAACTGTGATAACTCCCACTTTATGTGTGATTCTTTATCTTTTAACTCCACGCCTCTTGCCAAGACCCTCGCATTTACTTCTCTTACAACCCCATCTATAAATATATTAAACAACCACGGTGACATCACGCATCCTTGTCTAAGGCCTGTCATACGCCTTTTCCAAATCCATAAATGCCACAAAGACCTCTTTAGCCTTATCTAAATACTGTTCACTTATATGTTTCACTGTAAACACCTGGTCCACACACCCCCTACCTTTCCTAAAGCCTCCTTGTTCATCTGCTATCCTATTCTCCGTCTTACTCTTAATTCTTTCAATAATAACTCTACCATACACTTTACCAGGTATACTCAACAGACTTATCCCCCTATAATTTTTGCACTCTCATTTGTCCCCTTTGCCTTTATACAAAGGAACTATGCATGCTCTCTGCCAATCCCTAGGTACCTTACCCTCTTCCATACATTTATTAAATAATTGCACCAACCACTCCAAAACTATATCCCCACCTGCTTTTAATATATCTATCTTTATCCCATCAATCCCGGCTGCCTTACCCCCTTTCATTTTACCTACTGCCTCACAAACTTCCCCCACACTCACAACTGGCTCTTCCTCACTCCTACAAGATGTTATTCCTCCTTGCCCTATACACGAAATCACAGCTTCCCTATCTTCATCAACATTTAACAATTCCTCAAAATATTCCCTTCATCTTCCCAATACCTCTAACTCTCCATTTAATATCTCTCTCCAAAACTTTTTCTTATTTTCAACAAAATTTATTGATAACATCTCACCCACTCTCTCATTTGCTCTCTTTTTACATTGCTTCACCACTCTCTTAACCTCTCTCTTTTTCTCCATATACTCTTCCCTCCTTGCATCACTTCTACTTTGTAAAAACTTCTCATATGCTAACTTTTTCTCCCTTACTACTCTCTTTACATCATCATTCCACCAATTGCTCCTCTTTCCTCCTGCACCCACTTTCCTGTAACCAAAAACTTCTGCTGAACACTCTAACACTACATTTTTAAACCTACCCCATACCTATTCGACCCCATTTACTATTCTCTCATTAGCCCATCTATCCTCCAATAGCTGTTTATATCTTACCCTAACTGCCTCCTCTTTTAGTTTATAAACCTTCACCTCTCTCTTCCCTGATGCTTCTATTCTCCTTGTATCCCATCTACCTTTTACTCTCAGTGTAGCTACAACTAGAAAGTGATCTGATATATCTGTGGCCCCTCTATAAACATGTACATCCTGAAGTCTACTCAACAGTCTTTTATCTACCAATACATAATCCAACAAACTACTGTCATTTTGCCCAACATCATATCTTGCATACTTATTTATCCTCTTTTTCTTAAAATATGTATTACCTATAACTAAACCCCTTTCTATACAAAGTTCAATCAAAGGGCTCCCATTGTCATTTACACCTGGCACCCCAAACTTACCTACCACACCCTCTCTAAAAGTTTCTCCTACTTTAGCATTCAGATCCCCTACCACAATTACTCTCTCACTTGGTTCAAAGGCTCCTATACATTCACTTAACATCTCCCAAATTCTCTCTCTCTCCTCTACATTCCTCTCTTCTCCAGGTGCATACACGCTTATTATGACCCACTTTTCACATCCAACCTTTATTTTAATCCACATAATTCTTGAATTTACACATTCATATTGTCTTTTCTTCTTCCATAACTGATCCTTCAACATTACTGCTACCCCTTCCTTTGCTCTAACTCTCTCAGTTACTCCAGATTTAATCCCATTTATTTTCCCCCACCGAAACTCCCCTACCCCCTTCAGCTTTGTTTCGCTTAGGGCCAGGACATCCAACTTCTTTTCATTCATAACATCAGCAATCATCTGTTTCTTGTCATCCGCACTACATCCACGCACATTCAAGCATCCCAGTTTTATAAAGTTTTTCTTCTTCTCTTTTTTAGTAAATGTCTACAGGAGAAGGGGTTACTAGCCCATTGCTCCCCGGCATTTTAGTCGCCTCATACGACACGCATGGCTTACGGAGGAAAGATTCTTTTCCACTTCCCCATGGACAATAGAAGAAATAAAGAAGAACAAGAGCTATTTAGAAAAAGGAGAAAAACCTAGATGTATGTATATATATATGCATGTGCATGTCTGTGAAGTGTGACCAAAGTGTAAGTAGGAGTAGCAAGATATCCCTGTTATCTAGCATGTTTATGAGACAGAAAAAGAAACCAGCAATCCTACCATCATGCAAAACAGTTACAGGTTTCTGTTTCACAGTCATCTGGCAGGACGGTGGTGCTTCCCTGGGTGGTTGCTGTCTACCAACCTACTACTTATAAATAGAACAATTAAAAAGGTAATATACAAGGGATATTCAGTAAATTTAGGGTGTGTCCTATATGACAGTGTCTTATATACTGTACTGCAAAATACAGTATATTTGGACTGCCAATGGTAAATGAAAAGGGAAGGCCTTTAATTAGTTGTGTGTAAAAAGGGGTTTTGATAATAAGTAATACAGTGAACCCTTAGATTAATGGAATAATAGGGAAAAAGGGGTGTATGATATTGCTGATTGTCTGATGCTCAAAAATTACGAAATGAATTTTTCATGATCATTCAATTGTCTTTTGAACCAGCAGACTTGGTCCAATGTTGCAGAAGACAACCAGACACTACCACTACAGACAGCATGTAGGATTAAGGATTTTTTTTCTGTTTTGTCTGGTCTTTTTTTTTTTTTGTCTGAATTTAAAAAAAATCCATTACATGGAGGCCCACCAATGAGAGGTTTTACTGTAGTCTTTTAAAAAAAAAAAAGAGGACAAATTGGTATATGAGACATGATGCAGAGAGCAATGATAGCAGTTTATCAGACAATGTATCAACACAAAAGTTTAATGGGTAGAATCATGGATGTGTATGTTTTTAGAGGAGCAACAGAAGGGTCAGAAAATTATTTAGTGGTAATTATCATAAGAGTAAGAGGTAGATGGAGTACAAGGAGACTGGCAAAAGTGAAAATACATGGATTAAGGTAGGAAACAATTCTGGAAGGGATTCAGGGAAACAGGTTAGCTGGACTTGAGTCCTGGAGGCAGAGAGTACAGTGCCTTCACTCTGAAAGAGGGGTGACAGGATGTTACAGTTTGGAAGGTCATCTGAACTGTAATGTCTGGCAAAACAATGACTGAATGAGCGACAGTGTCCTTATTCATTCTGGCAATATTTTCATTAAAGTACTGACTTTCAGCATATAGAATTACTCAATCAAATAGAGTTTTGTGCTAGAAGCAATGGGCAAAAATTATATTGAACAGATTATACATGGCATCCCAAGTCTGAATCTATTGGAAATACTGTACATGCATTATATTATTAAACTTTAAAAAAAATTATTTTGTTTTACATATTTCCAAAATTAAAATAACCTGATGGGTTAATACACCAACAAAAAACAGGTGGACCCAGTGTTCAGACATGTTTCCAAAATTAATTAGAAAATGTGTATATTACATGTGTCAAAACACTTCTGCAACACCCTGTATAACAGAATTTTTTTTTTTTTTTTTTACACAGGATTTGTTACTGCTTCCCCTCAACAATAAAGTTGAAAAACAAACTATGAGAAAAAGTAAGATAAAAGTTTATGAGGCCCCCCAAAATCTGTAGTTTACCTGTCCTCTCTTTCCTTTTCCTTCTTTATTAGTCTTCCCTTTTCTCGCTCTCTCTTCAGCCTATCTTCTTCTATTCTTCTTAGCCGCTCTTTTTCATACCTTTCTTTCTCCCTCTCCTTTCTTGAAAGCCTGGCTTCTGCTAGGTAGTCCTCCTTTGTTCTTTCAGGTCGTAAAACCTGTGAATAAAGAAAAAATGCCTTAAAATAAGTGGTGTATAAATTTGTAGTGGAGGAAGGAGGGGTAGGGGTCATCTTAGGAAAGGATGGAGGGAGGGGGTAAAAGAGATTTTGTGTGCAAGGGCCTGGACATACAGCAGGCATGTGTGAGTGTGTTAGATAGGAGTGGAGACGAATGGTTTTTGGGACTTGACGAGCTGTCGAAGTGTGAGCAGGGTAATATTTTGTGAAGGGATACAGGGAAATCAGTTAGTCTGCCTTGAGTCTTGGAGGTGGGAAGTACAATGCCTACACTTTAAGGGAGGGGTTTGGGATATTTGCTGCTTAGAGTGACATCTCAACTATCATTTCTGCACACCTCTGCCAAGACAGTGATGTGTGTGGATGATGGTGAAAGCGCTTCTTTTTTTGGGGGGTCACCCTACCTCTGTGGGAGATGGACAGCATGCTGAAAGAATACCAATAATAATGTGGACAGTGAGCATCAGGTTAGGGTATGTATGATAGAGAGGGGATTACTTTCCAGTAAAAGTTAGTTTTAGACAGAGTTACAGGGATGGGTGAAATAACCATGGTTGGTTAACATATTTATTGATGGGATTTTAAAAGAAAAGAACATTTGGGTGTTTGGGAAAGGTGTGGAATTAAAAGATAACCAATCTAATACCATGTGGGAGTCGTCACAGATGCTTTTTGCTAATGACACTGCTTTTGGGAGATTCTGAAGAGAAGTTGAAAAAGTTGGTGGATGAATTTGGAAGTGTGTGTAAAAGAAGGAAATTAAAAATGAACATAGGAAAGAGCAGTGATGAGAGTAGCAAAACATCTAGGAAATGAAAGACTGGATATCAGACTGGAGGGAGGGTAAATGTAAAAGTTATGAATATAAATGTCAGTACAGTAAGGCCCCACTTATATGGCAGGTTAGGTTCCAGGCTACCACCGTAAAGTGAAGCTTTTTTTTTTCCCTTTATAAATGCATATAAATGCTAGTTAACAAATTTACACTAACATATATTAGTTAGCAATAGAACTAGGCAGTAAAAAACAATAAAAGAGTAAAATTTACATACAGTACACTCAATACTTAAAATACTTGTAGTCTTAATGTAGGGTGAGATGAGTAGTATTTATTGTCAGAAATCAGATGTGGTAAGTATAATAGCCAGGCCAGGCCACCCCCACCCCACCCCAACCACAAGTAATATACTATGACATTTACAGTGTCCCAGAGCAATAAAATGCATATACAGTTCACTCATTACTTACCTTAAAATATTTGCAGTCTTAACGTAGGGTGAGATGAATAGTATTTATTGTAAAAAATCAGGTGTGGTTGGTATGGTAGCCAGCCTGGTCACCCTCATCCCACCCCACCAGCAGTGGGGGAGGGTTGGTGAGACGCGGAGTTATGTAAACAGACGAACGCATCTGGTTATGGTTCATACACGTCTGTATTATACCATAATGCAAACACTTTACATTGTGTACAAGTTGTCTCCACATTGGTACAGTAGAATTAATAAAGAGAAACACTCCCATTCTCATTTAACACCATTTTTAGAAGAAATGATGCTCTGAGTGAAGGCATATGAAAGGAACAATTTTTTACAGTTACCCCTAGTAATATTATTGTGAACACATTTTCTCTGGTGTTGAACTATATACAGTGGACCCCTGCTTAACGATCACCTCCCAATGCGACCAATTATGTATGTGTATTTATGTAAGTGCGTTTGTACGTGTATGTTTGGGGGTCTGAAATGGACTAACCTACTTCACAATATTCATTATGGGAACAAATTCGGTCAGTACTGGCACCTGAACATACTTCTGGATTGAAAAAATATCATTAACCGGGGGTTCACTGTATATGTTAATTTATTCTACTGTGGAGTGCATTTATCATATTCATATGTTACATAGCATGTTTATTATATAATTTTTAAAAAATATCATAGATAGAGTGATGAAAATGTGTATATTAACGTAATATACGACATTTAATGTGCCTCCGAGTGAGTATTATTATTATTATTATTATTATTAATATGGCATTCTGAAGACATACTTTTGCGACGATTCTTAGTGATTTTAATGTGTACCTGCACACCAGCACAGTGTGTAAGTTTACTTAGGTACAGGTACACATAAGTATAATTATCAGAGTACATATAAAATATGAAATACCTTTAAAACACTTGAAATTTTGGAAAGTCCAGGCATAATGGAGAGACACGGAGCTCACAAAGAATGTAAACAAACCAGGTGGGGGCGTGGTGACCGTATTAGAAAGTCAGGTGGGGGAAGCCGTATAGAGAATTTTGGTCATAATCTGAAATGTCTGTATTAGCAGAACATCGTAAAGTGAAATGCCATAAAGTGGGGCCCTAATACTGGGGCATTAATACTAATACATACAGTGGACCCTCGACATTCGATACTAATCCGTTCCTGAGAGCTATCGAATGTCGAAAATATCGAAAGTCGAATTAATTTTCCCCATAAGAAATAATGGAAATAAAATTAATCCGTGCAAGACACCCAAAAGTATGAAAAAAAATTTTTTACCACATGAAATATTAAGTTTAAAGCAATAGAATAATTACAATAACAATAGATTAATAACAATAGAATAATTAACACTTACCTTTAATGAAGATCTGGTGATGATTGATGGGATGGGAGGAGGGGAGAGTGTGGATGGTGTTAGTGTTTAGAAGGGGAATCCCCTTCCATTAGGACTTGAACTGGCAGCCTCACCATGCCTTACCACACTGTGTATGCCACTACGATTCTTAAATCTTTCAAACCAACCTTTGCTGGCCTTAACTTCACTCACATCACCACTAGTTGCAGGCAATTTCTTTACCAAATCATCATGCACTCCGACACACGCACTCCACTTTCGTACTTTGCAATTATCTCTTTCTTCATTTCAATAGTCATTAGCACCTTTTTTCTCGAAGGGTTGGCACTAGAAGCTTTCTTGGGGCCCATGGTTACTTATTTTGCAGAAACAAGCGCCAAAAACAGTGATAATATGGATAATATGGAATGTACCGAATGTATCCTTAGATGCGCGCACACTGGCTGGCTTGTAAACACTGGCACACACGGGGCAGTTCAGGCCACACGTGGACACGTCTCGTATGAATCGTATCGAATGTCGGGTTTTCCATCGAATGTCGAGGCGAAATTTTTGTGTTAAAATGCATCGAATGTCGGATTTATCGAATGTCGATGCCTTCGAATGTCGGGGGTCCACTGTATTTATAAACCGTTCCTTATATATTAGATACAAAACTCCCTCACCTTTACCGAATTATCATCCTTGAGATCTTCCTTCTTCTTTATGTCTCGGACATCTTTCCCATCTTTCTTTTTTCTTTTATCCTCTTCCCTTGCTTTTTTTCTTTCAAATTCCTTCCTTCTTCTCTCCTCCTTTTTCTCTTCCTTACTTCGTAGTTTCTCAGCCTTTTTCTGTTCAATAAACTCCAGAAGTGGCGTCTTGACTTTGATAATTCCATTGTTTGCTGCAGTTAGTAAAAACATAAAAAAAATTGATTTGGGAAACAATTTGTATTAATTTTTTGCATAAACAAATTCTGTGGGTAAGCCTGACTGATCTCTGCTCATTTCAGCTAAAAAGTCATGTGGCATAGCGCAATGATACCCTGAAGTCTTCCTTAAGTGTGGTTTCACTAATAAATACTTTTTTAACAATTGCTGCAGGTTTTCCAATGAAGCAGGGAACCCCCTCCCCCCCCCCAAAAAAAGAAGAAGAAACACTTTCACCATCACTCAATCACTGTATTGCCAGAGGCATGTTGATGTCACAGGTCAGAAGGCCCTCCAAACTGCAACAGCCCCACCCATCCTTCAGAAAGGACATGACAGAAATAGAGGATTCAAGATATTTATAGTCACAATCAACCTTTAATGCTACTTTCCACCCTAGGCACCATTATCACACAAGATCATTCTAACACAATCATCACAATTTTTTCATCACCCATCTTTCTTACAACTATTTTCCAATTACCACAACAGCCATTTCACACTAAGGTAGAGGTACCCAAAGAAGGAAGCACATTCACCATCACTCATTCAATAGCTGTCTTGCCAGAAGTGCTTGAGCATGGCAATTCAAATAACACTATAAACTGGCCTCGAGTTTTAAGACTCACTTGCTATGGTTTCAATCCCCGCCCATTCCCTGGTTTGTTTGCAATTGTGTTATTATAATTTTGTGTCTGAGTATTCCCTTATTTCCAAATACACTTATACTAAAATATTTTTGTGAAAGCAGTACATAACTTTTAATATACTATAAGTTAATGTACCCAATATTCTATTTATACAGGAAGATTCAGGCATTAGCTTGAAATATCACCTATAGGCTGAACTTGAGTCCTGGAGATGGGAAGTACAGTGTCTGCACTCTGAAGGAGGGGTGTTAATGTTGCAGTTTTATAACTGTAGTATAAGTGTGCCTCTGGCAAGACAGTGATGGAATGAATGATGATGAAAGTTTTTCTTTTTTGGGCCATCCTACCTTGGTGGGAGATGGCCGATGTGTTAATAAAAAAGATAATAAAATAAAATGAGTAAGTTTTCTTCTTAAATATAGTTCCAGACAAATGGAATATGTACATGAAACACAAAACCCTCAATATGAAATAACTGTATTACTATAGCTATCAAAAATGTTATTAATAAACTGCTTTATTGTTATAACAAAGTACAGTGGAACCTTAAATATCGAACTTCCTTTGGTCCAGAAGGCTGTTCGAGTGCCTTTACCGAATTAATTTATTCCCATGAGGAATAATGTAAATTAGGTTAGTCCATTTCAGACCCTCAAAAATACACTTATAAAAGCACTTACAAAAATACACTTACATAATTGGTTGTGTTGGGAGCAGTTCGATTTTAGAGGTTCCACTGTATACCTAGAAGGAAAATCACAATGGTCCAGGATAAACTAAAACCTTGTGCAACATTTCCTATCCAAACTGTGCATAATATGTGAACAAAGTAGCATTATCTGTCACCAGACTGTGGATAATCTGTGAATAAAGTACCTTTTATATATCAATACTAATCAAACTGTTGCAGTAACAGTTTAAAAAAAAAAAACTAGTAAATATAATTTTTACCCTTGAGCTCCCTATCTTGAGCTTGGATCTCCTCAAGCACAGCCTCGAGAGGAGGAAGTGTCACAGCTACAGGGTTGGTGATGGACTCAAGAAAGGCCAGGAAATCTGGGTCCTGATCTATGGTCCCACATCTGGCATCTCTCTTTTTCCCATTAGTGCGCTTTGGTATCTTTTGAAAAGGAGCAAATTCTACCATGGCAGGATGCTCATTTCCTGTAAATTGAATGATAAAGTTTAAAATTACTATGGTAAGTGCAATTTAGCTCCCAAATTACATGGAACTGTACTAAAAATGAAGGAAACTAATTACAATATTATAAATTTTTACAGACTAAAGACAATAACACTAACTTAACATACTCACAAAAATCTGCCAGATATTTTTAGTTCCTTTCTCATTCAAACCCTTCTTCCACTGCACTGTCACATGTCCCTACATTTTCCATTCACTTAATATGTATACACTGTCATTATATCAACTGATCTTGCTCCGGTCTTTCTACATACTGAAATTATTTCAGCAATTTATATCGTACTCATTGAATTATATGTACAGTAGGTATATATATATGCAGCCAGGTCTCGATAAGTGCAAATTTCAATACAGTGCAAAATTAATTAATGCTACTTCCCCCTCCCCCCCCCCCCCCCCAAAAAAAAAAACTCGTCACATTGTGCACAAAAATTACATACCATAATTCGAATAGTGCGAATTCAAATAATGCGGCCACTCCACAGGATTCATTATTCACACTAATTGAGACCTAGTTGTACCTTGACTCCTTGAGAAAGTGGAGAAGAAGCATTCCTCCATAAGCCATATGTCTTGTAAGAGGTGACCAAAATGCTGGGAGCAAGGAGCTGGTAACCCTTTCTCCTGTATAAATTACTAAATGCCAAGAGAAAGGGGCTGGTGACCCTTGTCCTATATAAATTACTAAAGACAGATGACTGAGCTTCAGTTTTTCCTGACAGTGAAGTGTCTTATACAAGGCTTTGGGAGTACACACACTCAGGGACTCATCAAAGGTATATCAAGTCTATTGATTTACAGAAACACATTTCCTTTAATCCCAAAGGCAGATATTTGTATCCTTAATTTTCACATACCTTTGAAAGCCTTCAAGTGTTTTCCTACTCTCACAGCCAGGCCATGGGCCAGTGGTGTTGTATATTAAAAAAATAAGCACCACACCTGCGTGGGCCATACAGTGCTGACAGCTACCATCCCGAGAGGCATGACCATTTTGTCATATGAGCACGAAATAGAAACCTGTTAGATAATTGTTCTGCACTCTGGCAGGAGCGCTGTTTGTTTCCTTTCTGTTTCATGAACACGTACATGATCTTATACAGGTCTGCCGGGTTTACAATTTCTGAAACCATTAACTGATATGTAACAAACATACTAGCAGCAACAGCCTGGTTGACCAGGCAAGCCTGGTCCATGGCAGGGCTCTGGTAGTAGAAAAACTCTCAGAACTCATCAAAGGAACACACTAATAGGCAAACAGGATAAAATGCAAACCTTTCTGATCAACAAAAACATAGCCATCAAACTTGTCTCTGAATGTGAAGACATCATCCACATTCTTGAAGTTAATGTATGCTCGAGTAAAAGAGTAGGGGCCAAGACTGTTGTCAGCTGGAGAGAAGGTAAAGTAGTCATGTTCTGGCAGAGGAGAGACGGCTTCGCGGAATTCCTCTTCTGTCATGTTAGGAGGAAGACGTCGTACCACCACCTGTGAATAGGATATTATTATAATCATAGGCAAGCACTAATCCTATGATATACCTTTCAGTTCCAAGACTTTTTCTACTCCAGGAGCCCAACCATGGGCCAGGCTTGTCTGGTGCTTGCCTGGTCAACCAGGCTGTTGCTACTGGAGGCCCACTGCCCCACATATCCATCACAACCTGGTTAATCAGGCACCTGGTGAAGATCCTTGTCCTGTTTTTCTTTAGAAGACTTCTACGCTTATCCCAGTAGTTTCTGATTTCTGATATTGTAGGAGCCATACAGCACTTGGGAAATGGGAGTCAGGTTTCATTAGGGGAATGAGGAAGTGGCTCCATATTCCTTTTCCTAGTCATTCATCATCACCAAGGTGACTCACCCTTGAAGGATGCATACATATTTCCATTTGGCAAACAATACAGAGAGGTTGAAGTAAAACATGTGCAACACATTAGTATCATTATAGAGAAGTTTATTATTATAATCAAGGGGGAAGCGCTAAACCCGTAGGATTATACAGCGCCCAGGGGGGATGTGGAAGGCATTCAGGCTTAATTCGGGGAACTGGAGCACAGATTCAATTCCCTAAATCAAGAGCCCCTCACCAACATCAAGGAACCTTCCATGAGGGGTATCATTATAGAGAAGTTTTGCCTGTGCATCAGGCTTTTTCTTAATCAAATACATTTTCTGTTTAGTTTCCACTGCATTTGATTGAAAAAACTGCAGTGCAGGAGAAATATTTTGTCAATAAGGACAAATGTTGCACATATGTCTTCTTCATCAAAATAAACTAATTATGGAGAACATAACAAAATGTAAGCACAGGTGTGCCTGCAAAATAAAAAGTGCCGACACGATGGGAATTAAAAAAAATCTGAAATGGAAGAATACATGGGGCACATACACTCAAAATTCAACCACATTGAGGGTAGTTACCACAATAACTACACTGAGGGTAGTTATGTGACCACACTGAGAGTAGTTACCACAGTAACTACACTGAGGGTAGTTACATGACCACACTGAGGGTAGTTACCACAGCAACCACACTGAAGGTGGTTACCACAGTAACCACACTGAGGGTAGTTACCATCATACACATCAATGAGGGTAGTTACCATAGTAACCACACTGGGGGTAATTACCTTAGTAACCACAGTGAGGGTAGTTACCATAGTAACCACACTGAGGGTAGTTACCACAGTAACCATGCTGAGGGTAGTTACCATAGTAACCACACTGAGGGTAGTTACCACAGTAACCACACTGAGGGTAGTTACCACAGTAACCATGCTGAGGGTAGTTACCATAGTAACCACACTGAGGGTAGTTACCATAGTAACCATGCTGAGGGCAGTTACCATAGTAACCATGCTGAGGGTAGTTACCATAGTAACCACACTGAGGGTAGTTACCATAGTAACCACACTGAGGGTAGTTACCACAGTAACCATGCTGAGGGTAGTTACCATAGTAACCACACTGAGGTAGTTACCATAGTAACCACACTGAGGGTAGTTACCACAGTAACCATGCTGAGGGTAGTTACCATAGTAACCATGCTGAGGGTAGTTACCATAGTAACCACACTGAGGGTAGTTACCACAGTAACCATGCTGAGGGTAGTTACCATAGTAACCACACTGATGGTAGTTACCATAGTAACTACACTGAGGGTAGTTACCATAGTAACCATGCTGAGGGTTGTTACCATAGTAACCACAGAGGGTAGTTACCATAGTAACCACACTGAGGGTAGTTACCATAGTAACCATGCTGAGGGTAGTTACCATAGTAACCACACTGAGGGTAGTTACCATAGTACCCACACTGAGGGTAGTTACCATAGTAACCACACTGAGGGTAGTTACCATAGTAACCACACTGAGGGTAGTTACCATAGTAACCACACTGAGGGTAGTTACCATAGTACCCACACTGAGGGTAGTTACCATAGTAACCACACTGAGGGTAGTTACCATAGTAACCACACTGAGGGTAGTTACCATAGTAACTACACTGAGGTTAGTTACCATAGTAACCATGCTGAGGGTAGTTACCATAGTAACCACACTGAGGGTAGTTACCATAGTACCCACACTGAGGGTAGTTACCATAGTAACTACACTGAGGGTAGTTACCATAGTAACTACACTGAGGTTAGTTACCATAGTAACCATGCCGAGGGTAGTTACCATAGTAACCACACTGAGGGTAGTTACCATAGTAACTACACTGAGGGTAGTTACCATAGTACCCACACTGAGGGTAGTTACCATAGTAACTACACTGAGGGTAGTTACCTTAGTGAGAGGTGAAGCAGTCTTCTCTTTCTTGGTCTTAACATTGTGTCTGCTGCTGCTGGTGTTCTCTGAGGTTCTCTTAAGTGAACCTTCCACGTAGCTCTTAGAACCTTCTCTCCTCGGTGTCTCCGTTGTCTTGACTGTCATGTGAGCGATACACCTCCTCTCACGCACGTACAAACAGGAAGAAAGAAACAGGAAGCAACAGGACACCTGTATGTCAGGACACAACAGCAGCAACAACAGTGTTTACATTCTAGACTCAAGGGATCATATGTATAATCTCAAATATTGTTATTAAGGAGATAATTAAATTTATTCTAGTTCTATGTCCAAATTTATTTTTTTGAGCTGTCTTTTAAAGCAATGTTTGTGTTAGATATGTATTATTATTATTATAATAAAGCGCTAAACCACAAGGGTAATTATTATTATTATAATCAAAGGGGAAGCGCTAAACCCGTAGGATTATACAGCGCCCGGGGGGGGATGTGGAAGGCATTCAGACTTAATTCGGGGAACTGGAGCACAGTTCCAATTCCCTAAATCAAGAGCCCCTCACCAACATCAAGGAACCTTCCATGAGGGGACCACAAGGGTAAGATATGTAATATAACCCAATAGTCAATATAAACTCGCTTATATCCGTTGGTTTTAAGATTTTTAAGATAAGATAAGATTTCGTTCGGATTTTTAACCCCGGAGGGTTAGCTACCCGGGATAACCCAAGAAAGTCAGTGCGTCATCGAGGACTGTCTGACTTATTTCCATTGGGGCCCTCTATCTTGTCCCCCAGGATGCCACCCACACCAGTCGACTAACACCCAGGTACTTGCTGCTAAGTGAGCAGGACAAGAGGTATAATGATACCCGTCGAAATGTTTCTAGCCCCACCGGGACTCGAACCCGGGCCCTCCGTGTGTGAAGCGAGAGTTTTGCCAGCCAGGCCACGGGGTAGATACACGTACATCATAATACTAATGGGGAGCGCTAAACCCGTAGTGACATAACTACAGGTACACAAATGATCATACATAGCATCATGTGTAAACTATCCTCCAGGACAGCTCAAAAGTGTCAAGAGTGACATATTTCCATTAAGGTTGTGGAAAATTACATTTATCTGAATGTATCATTATGTACATAACAGTAAATGAACAAAGATAATTATTATTTATCAGTTAGACAAGTAGGAATTTGGGACACCTAAGTCGCAAAAAATGTCCCCCTTCGATACCTACCACTGTCATATCCACAAGTTGCTCTGGACCTATTAATTATAAATAAAAGATACATCACCAGGAATTCTGGTAAATATATAAATTTGTGGACTGTATATTAAAAATAATAAATTATTAATATATATAATTATATATATACTATATATATATATATATATATATATATATATATATATATATAATATATATATATATATATATATATATATATATATTTATTATTATTATATTATCACACTGGCCGATTCCCACCAAGGCAGGGTGGCCCGAAAAAGAAAAACTTTCACCATCATTCACTCCATCACTGTCTTGCCAGAAGGTGCTTTACACTACAGTTTTTAAACTGCAACATTAACACCGCTCCTTCAGATGTTGCAGTTTAAAAACTGCATATATATATATATATATATATATATAAATATATATATATATATATATATATAATATATATATATATATATAATATATATATATATATATATATATGCAAAACAACCACTCTGAAAGAAATAGAGAAAATTCCAAGCGCTTTCGTGACTACTCACGAAAGCACTTGGAATTTCTCTATTCTTTCAGAGTGGTTGTTTTGCATATTCTGAAATCACCTGTTTACTGTGATCTTATTGCATATATATATATATATAGAATATATATATAATATATATATATATATATATATATATATATTATATATATATATATATATATATATATATATATATATAATATATATATATGCAAAACAACCACTGTAAAAGAATAGAGAAATTCCAATCGCTTTCGTGACTACTCACATTATCAAGGAACTATGAAAGTAAAGCATCCAAGGAAGGTATATAAGGGGTCTGGCCAACACCTCACTATCAGATCCCACAACAGTTAAACACCTGACGCACGCCGACCCAACTGGACAGGTCCTTTGCACTACCCACCAACAAACTATTCTACCCAAGAAAATTTTAAAAATTATTTGTCCAGTGTATTATTAAATTCTTCCCAAATTCTATTAATTATAAATGGATCTAATTTATATAAACCAAAGGAAATATTCATATTATTGTCAAAACTGCTTTTTATGAAACAAGATTCAATAATATTCCTGTCGACCATGGACTTGCTTGATACTACTTTCTCAACTTTTTGAAAATCAATTGGATGGTTAAAATCTCTTACATGAATAAATAGAGCATTGGAATCTTGTCCAGTTTCTAATGCTATATTTATGTTGTTTAATCTTAGTTCGAGATTTTTACCAGTTTGACCGGGCGATAAATGACATGCCCATGCACTCTGCCCCAGGGCCAACTCATGGAACTCTGTGTTCATCAAGAACTGCAAGAAGCCCCTATCACGAGCCTTTTCCATCCTATGGAGAGGGAGCATGGACACGGGGGTCGTCCCTCAGTTACTAAAAACAACAGACATAGCCCCACTCCACAAAGGGGGCAGTAAAGCAACAGCAAAGAACTACAGACCAATAGCACTAACATCCCATATCATAAAAATCTTTGAAAGGGTCCTAAGAAGCAAGATCACCACCCATCTAGAAACCCATCAGTTACACAACCCAGGGCAACATGGGTTTAGAACAGGTCGCTCCTGTCTGTCTCAACTACTGGATCACTACGACAAGGTCCTAAATGCACTAGAAGACAAAAAGAATGCAGATGTAATATATACAGACTTTGCAAAAGCCTTCGACAAGTGTGACCATGGCGTAATAGCGCACAAAATGCGCGCTAAAGGAATAACAGGAAAAGTCGGTCGATGGATCTATAATTTCCTCACTAACAGAACACAGAGAGTAGTCGTCAACAGAGTAAAGTCCGAGGCAGCTACGGTGAAAAGCTCTGTTCCACAAGGCACAGTACTAGCTCCCATCTTGTTCCTCATCCTCATATCCGACATAGACAAGGATGTCAGCCACAGCACCGTGTCTTCCTTTGCAGATGACACCCGAATCTGCATGACAGTGTCTTCCATTGCAGACACTGCAAGGCTCCAGGCGGACATCAACCAAATCTTTCAGTGGGCTGCAGAAAACAATATGAAGTTCAACGATGAGAAATTTCAATTACTCAGATATGGTAAACATGAGGAAATTAAATCTTCATCAGAGTACAAAACAAATTCTGGCCACAAAATAGAGCGAAACACCAACGTCAAAGACCTGGGAGTGATTATGTCGGAGGATCTCACCTTCAAGGACCATAACATTGTATCAATCGCATCTGCTAGAAAAATGACAGGATGGATAATGAGAACCTTCAAAACTAGGGAGGCCAAGCCCATGATGACACTCTTCAGGTCACTTGTTCTATCTAGGCTGGAATATTGCTGCACTCTAACAGCACCTTTCAAGGCAGGTGAAATTGCCGACCTAGAAAATGTACAGAGAACTTTCACGGCGCGCATAACGGAGATAAAACACCTCAATTACTGGAGCGCTTGAGGTTTCTAAACCTGTATTCCCTGGAACGCAGGAGGGAGAGATACATGATTATATACACCTGGAAAATCCTAGAGGGACTAGTACCGAACTTGCACACGAAAATCACTCACTACGAAAGCAAAAGACTTGGCAGACGATGCACCATCCCCCCAATGAAAAGCAGGGGTGTCACTAGCACGTTAAGAGACCATACAATAAGTGTCAGGGGCCCGAGACTGTTCAACTGCCTCCCAGCACACATAAGGGGGATTACCAACGGACCCCTGGCAGTCTTCAAGCTGGCACTGGACAAGCACCTAAAGTCAGTTCCTGATCAGCCGGGCTGTGGCTCGTACGTTGGTTTGCGTGCAGCCAGCAGCAACAGCCTGGTTGATCAGGTGCTGATCCACCAGGAGGCCTGGTCACAGACCGGGCCGCGGGGGCGTTGACCCCCGGAACTCTCTCCAGGTAAAACTCCAATAAACTTTATCGCAAATTTTACAAGGAATCTTATAGACACATCCATCAGTATCCCAAGTTAAACCCAATACATTACTACACTTTGGCACTTCATCTCCAGGGTAATCTTTACTTATTTTGTCCTTTAATTTGGACGAATTACTATTCCATTCCCTCAGAGGCATATTTGCACTTTGCATTATTTCATTAGCCTCTCCATAAGTCATTAACAGTTCCTCTTCAGTTGACGTCACACCCAGGAAATTGTCCACATAAAATTGTTTGCTCATTACTTTACTCAATGGACTTTCCATACGTTAAGGTGTGCATTTATCGTCGCTTGAAGTAGGAACGGACTGGATGTAGCACCAAATAATACGCTCCTAAAGCTAAAGGTTTTCAGAGGGCTAAGTGGGTCACTAGGATTCTCAGGCCATAAGAAGATAAGATTTCGTTCGGATTTTTAACCCCGGAGGGTTGGCCACCCAGGATAACCCAAGAAAGTCAGTGCGTCATCGAGGACTGTCTAACTTGACGATCTGTTGGAGTGTGAGCAGGGTAATATTTAGTGAAGGGATTCAGGGAAACCGGTAATTTTCTTATAGTCGGACTTGAGTCCTGGAAATGGGAAGTACAATGCCTGCACTTTAAAGGAGGGGTTTGGGATATTGGCAGTTTGGAGGGATATGTTGTGTATCTTTATACGTAGTATATGCTTCTAAACTGTTGTATTCTGAGCACCTCTGCAAAAGCAGTGATAATGTGTGTGGTGAAAGTGTTGAATGATGATGAAAGTATTTTCTTTTTGGGGATTTTTTCTTTTTTGGGTCACCCTGCCTCGGTGGGAGACGACCAACTTGTTGAAAATAAATATATATATATATATATATATATATATATATATATATATATATATATATATATATATATATATATATATATATATATATATATATATATATATATATATATATATATATATATATATATATATATATATATGATATACCTGGAGAGAGTTCCGGGGGTCAACGCCCCCGCAGCACGGTCTGTGACCAAGCCTCCTGGTAGATCAGATTATTATAATAAAGAAGCGCTAAGCCACAAGGGCTATACAGCACTGCCCTGAT